ATATAAATATATAAATTCACACATATGAATATACTTTACAAGTAAATTTTAAAGGAAGCAAAATGCTTTAAGTTTCTAATAAGAGGATGGTAATGTGCACCTCCAAACGAGACGAAAACCCTTGACGTGCACAGGGTAGGGTAAAGGGAAAAAAAAATATCCGGGTGTTACAATCCTCTCCCCTTTGGATTAAATTTCGTCCTCGAAATTTATTTCACAAGAATAAGTGCGGGTAACGCCTCTTCAAGTCCTCTTCCGCCTCCCATGTCATGTTTGATCCTCGATGATGCTTCCATTTAACCTTGACCATGACAACCTCCTTGTGCCTCAATACCTTAGTCTTGCTTTCCAAGATGGCTTCCGGTTCTTCCACGCATCAGTTGTTCTCATCTACGCGAATTTCTGAAAGTGGTATAACACTTTCTTCTTCCGCCAGACACTTACGAAGGTAGCATACATGGAATGTGTGGTGGATTCCGGCCATTTCAGGTGGCAGTTCTAATTTGTAAGCCTAAAGTCCCACCCTAGCCAAGACTTTAAACGGTCCAAGGAAATGGGGACTTAGCTTCCCACGTTTTCCAAAACGGATAATACCTTTCCAAGGGGACACTTTTAGCATTACGCGGTCGCCCACTTGGAACTATATAGGTCGGCTCCTCTTGTCCGCGTAACTCTTTTGTCGGTCTTGTGCTGCCTTCAAACGTTCCCGAACACACTTCACCTTGTCGGCCATTTCCTGAACGATTTCGGGACCGGAGAATTGCTTCTCACCCACCACTAGTCAACACACTGGAGTCCTACATTTCCTACCATACAAAGCCTTGAAAGGTGTCATCCCGATACTGGAATGATAGCTATTGTTGTAGGCGAACTCCACCAGGGGTAGGTGAGAATCCCAATTCCCGCCAAAGTCAATAACGCACGATCTAAACATGTCTTCGAGCGTTTGAATGGTCTGCTCACTCTGGCCATCGGTCTGAGGATGGTAAGCTGTACTCAATTTCACTCTCGTGCCTAACTCTTTCTGTAAGCCACCCCAGAAATGGGAGGTGAATCGGCTATCCCTATCAGGCACTATTGACAATGGTATACCATGTGTCGAAACTACTTCATCGATGTATAACCTGGCAAGTTTGTCCATTGGCAGTGATTCTCGCATTGCTAAGAAATGAGCACTCTTTGTCAGTCGATCGACCACTACCCATATCGCATCATGGCCTCTTAAGGTCTTCGGCAGTTTGGTCACGAAATCCATCGTGATATGCTCCCATTTCCACTCGGGGATCTCCAAAGATTGAAGGCTACCATAAGGTCGTTGGTGCTCTGCTTTCACTTGCAAACAAGTCACACACCTCTCTACATAACGAGCCACATCTAGTTTCATGACTGGCCACCAATATGTCAGTTTCAAGTCTCGATACATCTTGGTGCTGCCTGGATGAATTGAGTATTTAGACTTGTGTGCGTCTTCTAGTAACAGTTCACGATTGCCCCCAATTTTGGGTACCCATATACGCCCTCGAAATAGCTTCAAACCACGGCCATCCTCTGTCAACAACATGCGTTGTTTCGTCATTACCTCGCTCTTGAGATTTTCTTCCAGGAGCGCTTCAGATTGCGC